GGTAAAGGCAATACTGATGGTGCTCGGTTCTCCTTCACAAGGTCAACCTGTAATGGTCTACCTTGTCCACCTTATGTTAGCAGTAGAGCTATTACTTGTGTTGTGTGTACTAAGTAACCATTTGAACATGTTTAATAATAAGTGACTATTTTTTAAATTTTTGCTTAGTCTTTAAAATACGCTAATTTTTTCTAAGATTTTTTTTGCTACAGTGTACATATTGCGTATAAATTACTCATTTCTTTGCAAGGGCAAGATAAGTAGTCTGATTGTAGTCTAGTGTGAATCTCAGAAACTGCTCAAAAGATTGTGGCCAAACTTGCTAGACTATTGACCTGTGCAGTCTTATTCACTTTACTTTTTGAAAAAGAACTTTGTTGTAAAAAATTGGTTAAAAAAAATAGAAAGATATCCTCATATGTCACATCATGGTTCAGTCATATTATGCTATGAACCTGTTAGTGTTGCCAACTACTACAATTCATATTCAGATATTTTAATATCATTCACCATTAACATTATGTAGAGGGTCTACATGTAAACGCATGCAGCTAAGGCTTCGCATTATAATAACCACATTATTATTATTATATTGTTACATGAAGTGAGAGTGCTTACCTTATCAGGTGCTCTAACACGAATGAAATGAATAGTAGAAATATGAATAACACTTGAGAGGAGATCACCAGGTAAACACAAATCCTTAACACTAATGAGAACATGACCTTCACCTACTGGTAGAATCTAATGAAGAGAAAAGGGAAAAGTAAATAAAAAGCATACATGTGTTTATAAAAATATTTAATACTTCAAAAAAATTAATAATTGATTTTAAATTTAAAAAAACATTAAAATATTCCATAGCAATTCTTTCTCTCTCCTCCTTACATTGATCTGATGTGAGTCCTTAATGTATTCCACATCAGCGACAGGTGGGCGTGGTTTTATGACATGATCAACATAAAAGAACGAGGACCCATGGAGTATGGACACTATGAACCTGTTGTTAGGGTGATTGTATACCAGAGCTGACTCTGGATCAAGGACCGCCCGGTACTTCAATAACAGAGACAAAGAGGACTCCACTGTAGGAGAATATGGATCCTATGCCATTAATACAAAATAAATACATGTAGATTATTTCTAGCAATTAAAGACATACTACATGCACATGTACAGGTCAATACATAATTACATATCATTTATTCTTTCCCTGCAGTCACACACTAATGAATATACATGTACATTAATGAATACATGTACACATGTAGATGTACATGCATACACCCAATCCCAATTCCTACTTCAATGTACATGTACATGTACATGTACATGTACATGTACATTATGACTTGTATTGTTAGTATACGTACCTGGAATGATGTGCCAGCAGCTTCTAGTACTTCTATTTGGTGAGTATTAGAGCTGAGAGTAACAGAGACAGAGCCTGTAGTCCTTGATAGGCCAGTACTCAGCACAGCTAATAATAACATGAAAAATAAATAAAATATACAAAGACTGTTATAATTGTACATGTACAGTAATACTTGCCTAAAGGATAAGCAATCCAAGTAAACAATAATTACAATAAAAGTTGCCTGTATACATGTGTACATGTACATCTAAGTGCATGCAATGGCATTTAGATGAACAGTACAAAAGTACAAGTAACACAGTGTACCAGTAAACACATTATTAATTGATGAGTTCATGGTTTCTGTGGCCAATTATTAAATTTTGATGAGCAACCACAGAATTACAACAATTCCCAAGTGATAAAAACAAAGAATCCTTTAAAGTATACCCCCTCTTCCTTACCTCTGTTACCATAGTGTCTCCACTGAGAGTTGGGTGGGTTTAATGGTAGGAGTGATGAGTCAGAAGATGACCACTTCCAGTGGAGAGAAGAGAAGTTATCAAACCTGTGCCTCTCTTTGTCATACACAATAACCTCAAGGACCAGTAATTGATTATTGAGTACTGGAAACTGTAAATAAAGATAAAAAATAATAAATAAATAATAATACATCCACTCTTGATAATAATAATAATAATAATAATAATAACTTAGAACAGACAGCCTCAGTATATCTTAATCTTATCCTCCCTCCCAAAAGGCTCCCATAATTAATTATGCTATTATTAGAACTGATAATTCTATTATTAGAACACTAAGATAAGTCAGGCACGTGCACAGGCACTGCGTCAGGCCAGGTGCTACAGTTGTATGTATACTGCTAGAGTCTGTCAGTCTGCTTGACTGCTTCAGCCTTCAGCCATCACAAGAATTTAAAAAAGGACCAGCCAAGTGGATTCACAATTTCACATAATGGGCGGAACCTCATCAACTGAGATAGTGTATAGGCTGGAACCATTAATCACAACAGGAGCTAAAGCCCAGTTCAAATCAACTGAATCTGCTGTCATTGTGAGATATGACGGTAGCACAAACAACAGAGATGTTATTATTGAAAACATAGAGAAGCTTTTTCCTGACAATCCTTGCAAAGAAGAACTTCTAAAGACAGCTACAAATATCCTTCAGGCGGTCAAGAATGCCAAGCAAGTACATGTACATGCCCACGTCATAGTTAGCAACGAACGGACACACCCCCACAAAAGTTAATTCCAGCGAAAATTAATTTCTGGGCCTTCTGGAACTAAACCACAAATTGCTTTACCACGAATTTTTTTACGTTTACAGTATTGGATCTATAGATACAATTGCCCAGGCCATATACAGTATTTTTACTTTTTAGAAAGTTATAAAATTTATTAATTTGTTGGGATACACGGGTATGGTAGGATATTGGCAAGGAGGACATGCTAATTGGGAACAAATTATGGGCAGAATAAACACACATTGTGACTCAAACATGAGAGGTGGCTGGTGAGCAAGTACTTTCTATCATTTATGTGCTTAAATGTACAGTAGAACAGTTGCTACTCATTTGTAGTAATAAGGAAATGTGTTGTTAGTTACTTGTGTATCAAGGTTTCCTTCACGAAGCAATGGACAGTCAGTCATCTCAGGAGAGAGTGGCCTCACTGATACTGAA